AGCCAAATTGACAAGAGAGCAATCTTGAAATGTGCACTGCACAGCCACACTGACACACTTTTAAATTTGGAAAACTCCATGCAGGCATAGCAGTTTATCTTATACAGCTGCTGTTATATGTAAGATAAAATACTGTTGAGATGTGCAGAATTGCACCTAAGATTATCTACGCAATTGGAGAACATATTTCCTGCCTCCAAAAATGCTATGCATTTATATAACTGTGTATGTTTGAACTGCTCACCACCTTTCCAGGACCTACATGAAGAGACGCTCCCATTTCACACCTAACACAGCTGTTAAAACAGCTGGTTTATTTTTTGTTTGGTTTTGTTTTCCCCTGACAACATTGCAGCATGGCCTATTGCAGCCACTATCTACAGCAGGAATCAAGAGCTGGCAATACCCACAAATGACAGCTCTGCCTCCACTATTGCCTCATATTAGATGGAGACATTTCACGTTTCAGTCCCTCAGCTTAATAAAACATGCACAAGAAGCAAAATATTAAACATAGATCTGTGCAATAAAGGTCAKAGGTGCACAGCTTTCAGCAACAAAATTACTTTAAGAAAAAAAATGAGCAGTGGTTAGCAGAGGCTCTAACAGCAGTATTTTTAGCAGCACACACAACTGGCTGAAAGGCCAAAATTTGGAGTGGAAGTGTTAAACGCTACAGACATGGTTTAACTTTAGCAGCTCATATATTACAAGTTAGCAAGCCCAATTACAGGCATCTCCCTTACAGAAATTGGTACTTCAGAAACCGCTGTCTTCTTATGAGATCTGTGCTTGATGAAGAGGAGCAGTTAAAAAGGTTTGCCAAGATGACCACTAACATGGATAGGGTAAACTATAACCTGTGTTATGGATCCTAGAAYCACGTGCTGTGTGTCCCCAGGAAATGGCAATTTCTTTAGTTCCTTTAGTTCCAAGCTCCATTACTTCTAAGTGATGTTTCACAGCCCCCMAAAGGGAACACTCTATATTTTGTGACAAATACTAACTTATCACCACTAACCTTACAGCCAGAAAGAAGGTGGCTAGTGACAAGAGAGGCCTAATGAGACTGTAGTGCTAGAAACCTGTATTGGCCCTTGTGGAGAGAGAGAGAGAAATGATCCCAGATGAACTCCTGCACCAACTGCTGCAGGAGAGCAAGGCCCAGTAAAGAGGGATGAAAATCCTACACTACCAGCAGAAAGCAGAAAGTTTACAAGGGCACAGACCTCCTGTATGCTGCAGAGGATGGCATTCCACTTATTTTTATTTAAGTCTGCTTTCCATATACATCTGCCATATGCTGCATCCTAAAAAACCCAAATGCAGTCAGAGTAGYTGGATATAGGCCTGTAACACCCCATAGACAGAAGTGTAAAAGTAACCCCCAGAAATTCTGTCCCTGCACTGCAGCCACCCTCCTTTCACCTTTACTTCAGGTAATGCCCTTTTCCAAGGCCTCCCATCTCAGCTATTTGCAAGGCAATGCCCGAGAGCAGCACCGAGCACACTCACAGGCAGAGTTTGCTCCTTCTGCTGCGCTTGGGTGGACCTTTGGGTCACATCCTGACCATCTGCTTTCCTGCAGGACTGTGCCCCACAGCAACCTTGCCTGCTCGGCTGCATTTCACATCTGCACAAGCCAGGCTGATAAAGCAAARGAGACGTGAAGCCTTGAGTCTTGCAAAAGAGAAAAAGCACCAGGTGCCTTTTCCTTATTACCAAGCTAGAATAGGAGCGGGAAGATGAAAATCAGTTTGCACGATTGAAAAAATGCAAGTAGCCCCCAAGATGGTTTGCTGGCGCTTGCTSTCCTCTGTTAAGAGCCTCAGAAAATAGGTCAAAACCTGAATGAATATGAAGACTCAATTCTTCTTATTCCTGGAAGCAGACCAGCCAGGTCAAATCACAGGTATGTCAGATGCACATCACAGAGAATCACTCATCACCCCTTTTCCATGGACAATTGAGAATTTTAATCTTCAGCTAAGAAATCCCGCTCTGATAAAAGCCTAAGACAAGTGAAAACAGAAAACTAAGAATTAATAAAGACACAAATCAGTTATTTAAATCCTCTMTCACTGTTTAAAATGCTTTAGTTCTTCCTGCCATGTGCTAACTTTACAGCAAAGCCTAGCTCTGCTGTAGGTGACTGTCAGGCTGGAAAGGGTATTCAAGGGAGATTAAGTGTTCTTGGTAAAAAATGTTGAAGCGTTTGYCTTTCCTCCCTACAATATAAACTAAAGATAAACTAAATTCCACATGGGAACAAAATAATCAATTCCTGTCTCTCTTCTGAACAAGCAAAACAGGAGCAATACGATTCTTACTATGACTTTAATGTCAGCATCAGCCCCTTTACTAAGGGATCTTCTCCTATCTTCAGTTTTTTGTGTCTAAAAGACTTTTGTTAAAGGAAGCCTGCAATATAGTTCTTTGTTCAGGGCACCACGCTGAATTACCTAAGACTTAGGTTGCAATTAGGTAAATAAGTAATACAGCAAAACAGGAGCAAATATCCAGAGAAAAGCAGTTGATGCTGAGGAACTGACATTCACACTCCACATATTTAGGAGGGGAGTGTTATCTCAGACCAACTATAGCCCGGTCCATGGACTGAAGTTATACGCTGAAGGAGAATATTCTTCAGCTTAGTTTTACCCCAGTTGAATCCAGCCSTTGCACTCCGAGACCATTTGCTGGTGCAAAGCAGGGCCAGCAGGCAGGTGCAATCAGGAGCGTGGTTTCACAAGCCCATTCCTGCSCCAAGTCAGGATGCTAATGCTCTCGCCAACTCTACTGCCATCCTTATTTCAAGAGCGCCTGGGCTTTTTAGATGGAAAACAAAGGCTAGAAGCCAAACAGCACTTCACAAGGTGAGAACACCAGCCCATTTAACTCATCCTCTGCATTCTCTGATTTCTTTTTTTTAACATCCATGATATGGAACTTGTCTGTTTCCTGACTAAAGAACTCAGCAGGAAAAATGGGGTGCAGTATGTGAATTTACAAGTAAGTCACCCTAGCAGAAGGCATGAGAATACAATTAACTAAATTCTGTGACAGACAGGGTATGCAGCAAAAAGACCTGAAGCACTACAGAGAAACCTGGACATTCCCACAGACAAGTAAAAACATCTATTCCAAAGTGCTGAACGTAGAAGCAATGCTGTTGTGAATCTGAGAGGCCTTCAACAGCAACACAGCCCTTTGACATCTCCTGTACTAAGATTAAAAACAGGACTTTTGCTTGTAGTAGTTTAAGTTATCTCACATGTGATCTTCTCATTAAAAATGGTCCAGTCAATTAATGTTTGAAACATATCTCTCCATGTAGCTATTTCCAATTGGCAGGTATTGGTAAATGATACCACTACTTGAAGGGAATTGGCTTTAAATCATGTTTAGAACACATCTGCCAAGATGCTGCTATTACAGGAAAGGAACTTTAATATGTTGCCAAATTTTCTGCATGGACATTTCACTAAGCGTTCTTCTGTAGTCTGTGGTAAAACTCACACTTAAGAGATACAAATGAAGCAGGGAAGGGCACCAGTCTGCAAAGACTAGTTATTTAGGCTGTTTTAAGCAACTGTAAGACTGACTAATTACTTTGGGTGCGTTGCTTGAATTACYTGAAAGGGCCTTGTTTTCAAAGGGCCTGCAAAACAGACCACTCTCAGGAGCCACAAGTTCGGCCAGCCACGCTTTGAAGGAAGCCAGAACTGAAAATAATCTACTACAGTATTTGTATGCATATCTGTCTAAAGAAGGAGACCACAAAGAGGTCAAAAACAATTTTTTCCTGGGAAACATTAGTGAAATCACCCAGTCACTGGAAAACTATAATCTAAAAGCAAATAAGTGTACCTGTCTGAGTTCTCCAGGAATAAAACAAGAGGCAGGATTTACTATATCCCCTCAGGCCCATCTTTCTTTTTTTTTTAATTTAGGAACCAAATTTTAAGAGGGGGATCCTGGAAACATCCCGGGCACGTCACACCCTAACTGGGAGCCACTTCAGCTTACAGAGAGGTGCTGACAGGTTGTCCTCATGCAGAGGGAGCTGACAGCCTAACCAAATGACTTCAGCAAAGTCACATCACTGTGTCATGTTACAGTGTGCACCCCACAAACAGCAGGAGTGCAAAATCCTCACCATTACCTTGGCTTTCCATAAGGCGTGTGAGATGGGGTGAGGGAAAAGCAGAAGGAAAAGCAGAAAGAAGAAAACATTTAACTGGCCCACTGCCGTTTGCTAGAGGTGACGACAGAAACAGAATTGGATTGGAAAATAAAATCCTTGCTCTTTGGCCTTGCCTTCATTTGTTACCTGCGTGCCATCTAGCTCTGAGGAACCAAAGCATGGTAAAACTATTTGTYGCAGATCTTTTCAAAGGGGCTAAGGGAATAAAAATAAAATAAAAGGAATAAAAATTCTTGAGCACTATATCCTATGTGTCCACCCAGACGGGCACAGTTTTTGCCTCTTCCTAGCTGTGTTTCGAGCTGCAACCGTGCAGCCCGGCCCTTGCTGGTCAGCACCCYGCAGGCACTGCCAGACTTGATGGGGCTGCTAGCACATCCACACGCAAAGCTACAACTGCCTCGGAGGTGAGGAGGGCTGACAAACAAGAACAGAAACTGCAGGGGCAGGAAGCCTGTTGAAAGGGCGATTACCAGCACGCATGGAGTATGTGCAGCACCGCTAACACTGCCTGTTCTCCTGACGGCTGTTCCCCGCTGTGATCAAGCACAACCGCTCTGGAGCGCAGCTGGGCTTGGAGCCATCGCACTAGTTTCCAGTCTCAGAGGTGGCCCCACACCTAGAGCACCAATGCTCAGGAAGGGGAAAATGGAGTGGAAGGGTGGGGCTCTTCGACAGGGTATTTTTCAYCCAGAAGTGGAGGATTAGATGTTTTAACTCACCTGTGAAAGCAGTCTCCACCCCAAAATAGGCACAAAAAGTAAGGAAAAAAGAGAGTTTAAGTGGTACTTACGCGGCATGATCCCTTGGCTCACCAGCTCCTCCCGTGTGCGTCGCTGCTGGAGCTTCAACTGCAGCACTGCACGACAGCAGAGAGAGGGAAGAGAAGGAAGCCCATCAGTGTGAGAAACAGCCACATCTTCACATGCATTCGCTTTTCTTCGTTGGATGCCAAGGCATTTGCGAGCAGCAGCACGAAAAGGGTCCCCCTCCCRGCCCGCTCCCCTGCTCTACTGCAATTGCAGAAGTAGCCTCGAGCAGAAAGGTTTCCGTATCTGCTGCGGGCAACAAGTTAGAGGAAGTTGCAAAGGGTCTTGGCAGGGTGATAAAATCCACAAACCAAGCCTGTTTCTCAATTCTTTTCTGCAGCACCGTGCTCTTTCCAAACCATTAATATTAAAAAAAAAAAGAAAAACAAACAAAAATACAGGCAGACTGCACTCCAGTAAAAACAGTGTGACACTCAAGCTGCGAACGACTGGAAAGCTCTAACTGCCACGTGCAGATTAAACTGATATGACAAAATTATTGGTCGTTAATAGTTGGTCATTAATTTCTGAAAATTACAAGGCTGATTTCCTTTCTCAGTTCAGAAATTCTTTTACCTTGTGAAACAACTAATGAAGGTGAAATATCATCATATAGTTAGAAGTGTCCTTGCCCCACTGCAAAAGGTATCCTTTACGGGAAGATTTTTTTCCCAATTTATTTTAATGAAACAGCACATAAATATTATTTTTTTGAAATGCAAGAATCGGTTCTATTACAAATCTTTACTCATAATATCTACATTTAGGCTACAACAGCAGTTTTCATTTGAACTGTCAAATCAAAATAGTATTTTGGGAACTGCTCTTAGGAACCATCAAGGACAGCTCCCATATGAAAGGGACCTTTTGAAAATGAAGAAAATACACACACACCCCCATGCTCGTACAAACACATATCAACTTAGGTCAACCTGGGTGAACATCAATACACACTGAACCCTCTTACAATCAACTATTATGCTGTGTACGCRACGCAGCATTTTATAAAATGAATGACATGGCCTTTTCCCTGTTTTTAGTTCCTCTGTGAAGCTGATGTGTGTTGTACAGTCCACAGAGCAGAAGTCCACACAAGTGGAACAGAACCACCAGAGCACACAAGTGCAATTCAACTATGCCGTCCTATTACAACCATCAGACTTCTTTTCTCAAATACTTTTTACAGTCCAATAAATTTCTTTCATACATTGCGTCCAARTCTACACTGTACTTTCCCTAAAGTAGGAATCAAAATAATAAAAGCTGCCATTGATCTACTTACATCAACATGTTTTACTTATTTCTTTAAATGTCCTACTTGCAGTTCGCATTTGACTAAGACACATCCTCCAGTGAGGCTTCTAGTCTTCATAGGAAGCTAATGAGAATTGAAAATCTCGGATCTTCCTTGGTTATTTGCACAGTGGCTAACCACCTTCACTTAAATGCACGCTCGGATTTTTCACCTGGATTTGTCTACCTTCARCTTCTGTAGGCTCTTGCTCTATCTTTCTGTTAAAGGCTTATGACCATCAGAACCTATGGAGGTACTTCTGTAGGCAGTGTGCAACTAGGTTCCCTCTCCTCCTTTCCATAAGCTAAACTCGGATTTCTTAACATACGCATCCGAGGGAGGATTTATTTTAACCAGGGGGAGTTATTTAGATTCCGTGCAGGCTACGCTGATTCCGTGCAGGCTCGGAAGAGCTAGAGATGGGAGGCGGGAATGCCCGGGGGACGGCACCGGCCCTTCGTTTGGCTGTGAAGCTGCAAACAGAAGTGCTAGTCCCGGACTCTTCCTCCCACCCGGCCATGCAATCGCGCTCCTCCTTTTGGGCTGCCATCAGTCTTCATATGATCTCACGGTTGGCCTGTCCACAGAGCTCTTTATTTGCTGGATTAGTTTTGAGGTGGCTGGAAGGCGGAACCAGGTGATGACACAGCGACACGGGCACCGCTGCCAAGAGCACGCAGGGGTCCACGGTAGACGGTCTGAGTCACCCCAAGTGGCTCTGGAAACACCCCTGAGGAGCCCAGGGAGAAGTTCGCTGGCTTGTCCATCTCGCAGCTTGCTGCCGCACCGCGTCCGGCTCCCCCTCCCTGCACTTCTCATGTTCGTCTGACTGCACTCACTGACTGGACAGAAAACACAGCCAGCCTAAGAAGTGAGCAGTTCACTGGCAGGTTAGCGAGTCCACCTGCACTGCTGTATAGGCAGGGATCTGCTAAAGCTATCATGACGTGTCGGGGGGAGACTTCCCCTCCCAGCACACCACAAAGTCGTTTCAGCTCTGTTAGAGACACATTTAATGTTAGATACACTCGAACTCTCACTATGTAGTATTTTTTCCACTCCTGAGTCATTGGGGGGGCTTGTTTCCACGTCCTGAATTAGCACGTCTCACTAAATGCAGAGAAACGAGGCACGGACCTAGAGCACTGGGCTCCCCATCTTTACTTGCAGTCTCGTTATTACTCATTGCTATCCCCTTACACATCTAGCACTGMATTTCTTAGCCCTCTTCGCCACAGCACTGTCATGTTTACTCGCTAGGACTACTYACCTTTCCAACTCTTTCCGACTATACCTGCTATCTGCCTGGGTCACGGGTTATCAGGGACAGCCTCCTCCACACAGGAGTTCCCCACTGCGTTTCCTGCTCTTCGGTGTCCAGCCCCTGTGCCCAGCTCTATTTGYACACTCAGGGCACAAGTGGTCTCATTCTGCCTAAATGAGCTAAGCAGCTTTTTACTGTTGTTACAATCATCTCTGCCTTCCACCCACACCTTTCTAGCAATCGTCCTACGTTTGTTTCCAGGCCCACCAGGTTCATCCCATCTAGAAACTTTTTTTTTTTTTTTTTTTTAATTGCAGCTAGTTCCTAATCAATTTAAGAAGCACTTTGTTAAATTCAGGGATATTTTAAAAATCAAACATACTTCACTAGTAACCAAAAGACCTTATTCCAGACAACACCTCTAGTCACCAGATTTCTAGCATGGAAACAAGAAAACTGCATTTGAGCAGACCTCTTTGTCAAAAAATGGAAATGCTGAAGGGCAGGATTATGCTTCTAGGCTTATACCATTTAATTCTTCATCAATTTTTCCATGGTTTCTTCCTGGAACTGATATCACATTAGCTGGACTTCACATCACTCACCTCTTTCACTAGTGATGCAAAATGTCACTTCTCTTAAACTCTTCTGAGGCCTCATGGCTACTCCCAGATTTACTAGCAACCAGTCTCAGCAACAGAAGCAGAGATTTCTTCAAACGATACGATTCTCTCCCTCACTTTAGCTTCCCCCATGAATTTCTAAATATATCTTATTTATACAGATCAGCTACCATCTATTACCCTTTTTCTCTACTCATTAAATGTATTTTTTATTTTCAATCACTTTGTTCCTCCATGGAAAGAAATTATCAACTGTCAAGAGGCCTAAATTGGGGAATAGGAAAAGGTCATTTTCAGAATATTTTTTAATTGGCACTAAGTGATTCTTGGGATTTATGAACACATATACATAGATGTATAAGTGCAAGCTATTACCAGCACAAAATGCACTTTTTCCTCAATACAGTTGATTACAGGGACAGGGAAGAGGGCAAAAAGGTTTAATTCAATTCTCTCCTGAATCCACTTTGGCTTAAATAAGTACTTGGAGTTCCAAACGCCATTTCATATATTTAGGAGATCACCTGTTTACATGTGCCAGTGTGTGAATCCTATATATAGATTAACAAATGTCCCGAGAGCCAATCCAAGGCTGCTGTACGTGGAGCTCAGCCAAAAGTCTAGAATGACAGGAGAAACTCAAAGTTRCTCAAATTGGACTGTAGCTCTTTCAATCACAAACCAACTTTTTTTGTTGTTTTCTTTTACCGATGTACTTAAATTCTAAACTAATTTTCAATTTAGGGGAAAAAAAAAAGTCCTATAAAAGGTGGTGCTTATCTGCTGCCAACAAGATAAGTTTTATATAATGACTTTCTGATTGTCTCTTTATTCAACTTCTTCACAATCTGTGAAGYGTTTTGTAAACCCTGCACTCTGATCGCATGCTCCCACTGCAAAATCTAATCATTTCCCAATTCGAAAAAATCTGGGATTTAATTAAAGAAGTTTTCAGAGCTCTAACGAAGCATTTCAAGACTGAGTGAACYATTCCAGCGCCACGTGGGAGACGCTGCTGGCAGCAGCGTGGCGAGGGGAAGGGAGGCCCTTGCGTGGGTGGGCGCTAGTGCTGCAACTCGGCTGCTAGCAAGGGCCTTACGCTTCTAGGGAGGCGTCGCCAGACTCAGTATTTCATGTCCATGCCGTAGTGGGACGGTAGGTGTGAACCTGCAGGCAGAGCCGAGCAGCRCCTGGTGGGGAGGCACAGCAGAGAGAAAGCTCCTAGCAAGCTGTGCCCATCCAGACACTTTGGGACACTCTTCTCCTTACGTCCAGCGGGAGTTGAGGTGCATCCAAAGGCAAATGTTTATGGGGAGGTAAGTTGTTCTTTTTGCAGCTTGGCAGCTWCAGCGAGTCTCCGCTTACACGCACATCCCCGGCGTGGCTGGAACCGCCCCAGAAACGGCACTGCAAGCCCTGCACCTCACAGAAAAYAAGTTGGCAGAGAAAAATAAATGCCCTCCTCCTGGGAAATATGCCACATGCCGTGACAGGTTCTCAGTGACAAGCCAGGCTCTGCATTTCCTGTGTGTTGAGAAGCAGCAAGGAGGGCTCCGTGGTCCCGCTCGAGGCTGCCGCTTGCGGCGACACCTCGCGCTCGGTTAACATGGGCTGCTCACCAGGCCAGTTTCCCATTCATATAAAGCCTTTTCTCCAGTTGCATCCCAAAAAGCACAAAGAAGTGTGCAAGAAAGGTAATGATCACTTATAGGCAGGTCACAGCACCTCAGCACCAGTCCTGGGGCAGGACAGGGAGCAAGGAAGACCAAGAGAACCGAAGAAAGCTCCCCGGAGGTATGAAGCTCGTGGACACCATTTACGGGCTTTGCAGATGCTGCGAAAGCGGCTTGCCTGACACGAGCACTCATC